TCCCATAGGAATAAAACTGAAACTCTTGAAAATTTTTGTGTATCGAAAAACCACAGAATACCCAACAAATAAAGAAACAAAAATACCCACTGACAACATTGTTTTGTTTTTGATTTCAACCAGTTTTTATTTTGTAATTTTTTTTTATAATTACTTACATTTCTAAATTAAAAGTCAGATTGAAGTGTACAACCTGAACTTTTCATTTTGAAACTTGTTTTCAATAATTTTTTGGAGTAAAAAAAATTATTGAAAACAACCCTTTCTGACAAGTTTCAGTTCTGGTGAATTGGTATTTTCCAATGAAAAATATGTTTCATCAAAAAATTGCAAATGAGCTCTAGTGGAGAACAATCGTATATGGCACCTGAGGATGATGCAAAACTAGTAATTTGTTTATTTCTAAAAAAAAAGGTCTTCAAACATGGCAAAAGCATTTGTGTTAAGCCCATGACAAGTTTAAGGCCTGATTCTGAAACATTTGAGTAACACTTATTCAAGGGAAAAGTCCACTAAAGTTAAGTAATACTAAATTCAGTAAAGGCTACAGAATCAGGCCCCTCAAGTATTAAACTAAAATATTTTTGAACTATCTAAATAATTTCTTAACGAGTGACATTTTTTTTCATTCTCAGTTATCAAAAGTAGCTGAATGGAATTTTACCAACCTCTCCAAAATACCCACAATTGAATGGCGAACAAGCAGGACAAAAGCCATCCTGACAAAAGGGTAAGTGCCTGAATACTAGGGCTTACAATTAAAGTGCTTTACCAGCCATAATGATAGCATCACATTACCAGTGCTACAATCCCTTGTTTCCTTCTGCATATTCCTTTGCTTTTGAACATGAGCCTTTGAATAACCATTCAGTAAGTTTTCCGAGATGTTCTCCAAATTTTGAAAGGGAATAAGGACTCTGAGTGATTTCAATAAGTCACATTAGGCCACGTGATCATAAATTATACATAGAGGTCATTGAGCATAAAAGCAGGGTAGGCCATTAACTACTTTGGTGCAAAGGCAAAAGACAACTAGGGTGCTGATCCATGCACTTAGTATATCTTTGAATGGCTGAATTTTCAATGGCATGTGGGCATGCCATTGAATGGAATGTCCTACGTCCAACCACCCCCCAGATGCCGGAGTGAGGGCCTGATGCACTAAGAGTAATGCTTATATTAGTTGTCACTAACATAGCAAATATGAATTATTGGATCAAGTAATGCCTTTGAATGTGTGTGCAATGGAGCCTCACTGGATGCCTTATCTCATTTTCAGATCCACAGACTTCTGGATCTGGCACCAGGAGCCAGTTGGGAACCCAGGCAGGTGCCACTAGCGCAGGGGTTCCCAAAGTTGGTTCGCAGCTTGTTCAGTGTAAGCCCCTGGTGGGCCGTGAAACACTTTGTTTACCTGAGCGTCCGCAGCACTTTGTTTACCTGCTCGCAGCTCCAGTGGCCGTGGTTCGCCGTTCCCAGTCAATGGGAGCTGCGGGAAGCGGTGGCCCGGCTTGCATGTTAACTGGCCTCCTCCACAATCTCGAATCGCCTTTCTGCCATTACATTCGTCAGTAGGCTAAATGGTTATCCTGATCCTTGCAGTGTATTTTTTTTTAGTTCAAAGGTTTTTGGCAGGGTGGTTGCATACCGGTGGCCCCAGGGAGGATTCCTGTCATCCTGTCACAGTTTACATGCTCAGGGATCTCATGCAGATCCTTGGTGCCATATGTCATAGTGGAGAGGAGGTGACCTTATTCAGTCCATTTTTGGTTCTTTCAGGGTCAGCAAGCTACTACCTGGGTCCATTCTATGGGAAGGGCTTTGGAACTGTGTGATATACAATGGCATGAGCATTGAGTGATATTACACGTGCGAAGGTCAAAGATGGATCAATTCGGCTGCAGCGAATGTGTTATCCTCTGGGTGTGTGGTGAGACTGTGGTCCACCCCATTCAGGCTTTGAAGGCCTACGTGGTGATACAGCGAAAGGGGGAAGGCCCGCTTTTTATGCACAGTGACGGGAGTCCACTCACAACATATCAATTTGTTGCCGTGTTGCGACAGGGGCTGACGTGGTTGGGGCTGCCAACCCATGAATTTGGTTCCCACTCGTTCAGAATCAGAGCAGCAACATCAGCAGCACTGCTGGGTATGGGAGAAGAGGTTATTCAGGCAATCGGGCATTGGCATTTGGACGTGTACTGAACGTATGTAAGACCTTAGGTGGTAAGTCAGCATGAATTTATAATCTCATTACAGATGTTGGAGGACCAGCCATGCAGACGTGGTGTGGATCTGTGGGCACAGTATTGTCTTTTGGGCACATACACATGCATCCAAGTTGCCCGAGGGTTCACAGCTGGGCTTCGGTAGTGAAGCAATACTCAGTTGGCATGCAAAGAGGGGCATGTTATGGGATCAATTGATACTGCTGCTGTATGCTGTATGAGCCAGTCAGCGGTCACCAGATATAATTGTGGTACACCTTGGGGGAAATGATTTGGGAATGCTTAAAGGGGTGGAAGTAATGCTTGGAGCAAGGAGGGACTTGAGGCTGATCCTTGAAAATTTTCCAGTAGTTAACACTGTATAGTCAGACATGCTTCAGCGCACGGTCTGGAGGGGAATCATGCAAAGGTACTTTCTTTAAAATTTAGACATAAATAAATATAGTTATAAAAGTAATCTGGATATCTAGAATATTATAACATTATCCATTAGTTGATATAAAATGGCTATATTTTTTTAAAAAATATGTCCTTGAAATGCATAGTGATACAAATTTTATTACAGCAGCCAGCAGTATAAAGAAATGTTTGATCTGTAGACCAGCAATCCAGTCTAAAGCATACATAGAATTTTGCCCTCCACTACCTCACATATGCAAAGAAGCACAACAACATTAGGACTATCCTCAGACAACTCCCCTATCTAACTGTTCTAATTTGTAATTTCCTTCCTTTGTTTTCAAAGCCATCCATGGACAAGCTGTAGTTTATTTCACATCTACACTTATACCGTTAGAATACTATCAACTCTGTTCCTCTATGTAATCTGATGAAAGACCTTTCTTCCCAGTAGCTTTTGTCATCGGGAACAATCTTCATATATTTCTTTACCTCATCAATTCCTCATTTCATGTCTCTGCTAAAACCATCTTTTCTCCCTTGTCTATTACCTTTTGGTTTCTCTTATATGTCCTATTATTGAACTTGGTAATTGTACCATTATCAGTAACTGTCTAATTTTTTAAGAGACAGACAAGATGGGTGAGGTAATATCTTTTATTGGAACAACTTCTGTTGGTGAAAGAGACAAGCTTTCAAGCTACAGAGAGCTTTTCTTCAGATCTTCTTCAGGACTTGTGCTATGCATTATTTCATATGTATTTTTCCATGCATAACGCTTGTGTTTAAATACATATGTATGGTCCTATCATCCCCACTTGCAGAAAAAACAGGGAACAGGGAAAACTTAAAACCAATACTGATGTCCCTTTGGGAGAGAGATTTATAGATGTACAAAAGTGAGATTTGAGTGCCATTTAACCTCCATTTCCTCCTTCCACCCTACAAGTCAGTACCTGTCCTAGTTCTCAGCAAAGAGCCTGGTACAGGCCATAGTTTTATATGAAGTCTAGTAGTATAACTCTGGTAATTTCTAAAGATATGAGTAAAATCCTGACCCAATTTGAAATAAATCGCAAAACTCCCACTGTCTTCACTGGGGCTAGGATTTCACCCCAGCTTACTAAGGGGTCTTTAGATTGTAATAATGAGAGGGAAACACTGAAATAGGTAGATCATTATGATTACATGCATAATAATAATCATATTATATGTTTAGATATTACTCATTTGCAAATTAATTTATAGTTTGTTCCCCCCAATTTTATGACTCCATTTACACTCAAAACTTTATTAACATGTTGTACATTTTAATAGTTAAATTGAACTCTGTACTACGTTTATATTTTTAAATCTGGAATCTTAATAACAGAGAAGATAATTGTTTAGGTTTTTTTAGTTTTTTTGTTTTGTTTTGTTCACCACAGTCTCTGCTGTGAATAAATGTTTAGGGGTAATTTTGTCTTTCGAGCATCGTAAACAGTAACAAATGCTTTTTGATTCACTTACAAATTATAAGAGAAGAGCCATGAAAATTTCCTAACCTTTTCTGCAGCTCAATAAATCACAAACAGACAAGAAAGTTAAGCACTGCTTCAGTGGAAAATCAGCAGACAGATGTAGCACACATTCCCCTCAAAATAATTCAGAACCTGTTTCAATTTATCAAATGCCTACTTTATCTGTCAAAACAATGTCCTTTCTCAAATAAAGGGCATTGTTTCTGCAACAAGAAAAAGGTTCTGATGTATTGTTATCTGCAAATGGATGGTGGAATAATGGAACAACAGGCAGTGTTTCAAACTAAGAGATCAAAGGGCAGAATGCTTTACAAATCTTGTTAAAATAAATTAGGTTAAAATCATAATTTAAATAAAGACATTTATAGTCTTAAACAATTTCTGTTTAACAGATCTGAAGAAAAATGGGGAAAATCCTGTTTATTATATAGGTTGATGCATTCTTATCCAGTATGAGAATTTCAACCTCCAGATAAACCAAGATTTCAAGAGCGGTGATGAATAAAAGCTAGTATTTTGTGCTGATGCTACAGAACTTTACAATTGCTGAAAAAATATTTGTAATCCCTTATTTGACTCTGTCATGTATTTTCATGTAATCAGCAGGCTATAACAGAAATATGTGGATAAAAGAATGCTTAACACTTACAATATTTTTTATCAAATATTTGAAGAAACAGTGATTTTCTTCATACAGAAAAACAATAATTTTTCATCCATAACTTGAAATCTTTCAAGATCACTTTGTTTTGTGGAATTTACATAATGTATGATTAAAATAACTGTCAACCTTCTTTTAATGTTTGTTCCCCCAAATCATAAGAAAAAAATCATATTTCCAAGAAAATGCTCTAAGCAATGAAGACACTTTAAAATCCTTATCTTCTTCAATTTAATCATGAAATAAGTATGAAGTAATACAAGCAACCACCAGAGTTTAAAGAGGTAAGCACATTTGAACAGTCATTTGTGGTTCTATTATCTAGTCATTGTAATGCTTATATATTTTCTTTAACCTCAACATGTCAGATATTTATGATGATTCCTGCAGCCAGCTTGATCTTGAGCTGAACTGTGACAACTTTGCACTGATGTATCTGTCTTCTCTATGATTGCATGTGGCTCTCTCCTTCTTATATTCTTCCATTTTTCAGTTCTTTTTATGCAGCTGTGACCTTTGTTGTGTGCTGGGTTTTTCTTCCTACAACAAATCTATAAGAGCACAGACTCTTTTTATATTCAATCCGTCTAAGCAATAACAAACTGAATTGACAACTTCAGAAACCTGTTCATTTGTGATCATCTAATGAGATCTCCAGAAGTCATCGATATTCCCTTTTTAAATAAATGTCATACTTGCATAGCCATTAAAGCCTGCTGAGGTGTCTTAAGCCTGGTATTGACCATATGGGCTATTAAAGGAAACTACATGATCAGAATCATGATTGAGTAAAAAGAATCAATTTTACTTGAGATACTGTAATCAGAGTACCGGATACTCTTCTTAGTTACACCAATTTAATACCAGTGCAATTCCATGGACTTCAGCTCATGTATAACGGTGCAAAAGGAGAGTCAGGCCCAGAATCTTGACATCTACAGTACACACCTAAAGGCTCAGTCCTATAAAACCTTATTTAGGTGAGTAAGTAAATGTTTATTCATGTGCATAGTCCCATTGAAATCAATGGGCCTAACCTACACCTTTCGGACCTACAGGAGTTTTGGCATTGACTTCAGTGGGAACAGGATGAGGCTCACTAAGTGAATATGAGAAAAGAGAAAGGGTTTCAGGATCAGACTAAGATTCTGAGATCAAAACTTATAGGGCCACATTCACTGGTATGCTCTGACTGCTTTGCTCTGCTCTGCTCCAGTGATTCAAATCAACATTAGCCTGGCTTAACTAGCTGGTCTTTTTCTTCTTCTTAGCATATGCATACTGTGCCTCAGGTGGCATGTGACCAGATTCATCACCGAGTGTGGTCCACTGGTTGGATCATTAGCTTCCCCATCCTGGGCCGGGTCCTGACGGGGAGCACAACATGAATGCTGATCCATGCCTCCCAACTAGCCAGTTAAGAGGGTTTTAGGATGGCTTGGCATTGCCAAATTACAAAAAACAAAACAACAAAAACACAGCCAGAATGCCCTGGTGAAAGTACCCTACAAATCTTGAAAAGGAGCTAGTAAAATATTATATCAGCAAATATTAAAGACTTACAAGATAACCCAGTTCTGCACACAACTTATTTCCAAGAAATAATTGACAATAGATTCAGAGAACCACTGTTCTCTGAATAAAACGGAGCATAGAGTTGCAAAAATGAGCCAGCTTAAGTACTTACAATGTAATATTGTATGGGCAGATAAGTTTTTATGACCCATATGTACACTTAGGAAAGAGATTAACAGTAAGAGGTTAGGCACGGCTACAGAAGTTATTTTGATTTAATAAAGATGTTCAGTAGATATAAGAAAAATAAAGAGGACTTAAAGATTTATGAGAAAAAAGTATTGGTTCAAAGAATGTGAAGATAAAACCAAAAAGCTCTGGAGAAAAGGAACCTTTCTCATGAAGGTTTTGTGCATCAAAACCAGACACAGAAACTAAAATAAAGCTGTTAATTAGGACCCAGACCTAAATTCCTTTGTAACCAAAACTCTTACTGAAGTTAATGGGGTTTCAGATGCATAAATAATTTAGGCCTGGGACATTACCAGAGATACAAGACTGATAAATCCCATACTGAGATACAGGGCCAGGTTCATTGGTGACTCTGGCTTCTTTAAGCTGCTTTGGTGATGCAAACAACTGCAAAATACAACGAGAGCAGCAGAAAGCAGCTGGTGAACAGCACCATCAAGGCTAGCTAAAACCACAGTCATTGGAGAGACATCAGTTTAAAAGTGTTGTAACAGAGCAGATAATCAGCCCTGATTTTCCTTTCAATTGCACCAACTTTACTTCAATTGAGCTGATGGTGACAATTTGACCCAGTTAGCCCAATTCTCTGCTACCTTGCACTGTGTCAAGTGCTACCATTGGTGTGAGTGATTGGATAATTCTGATTTGGAAGCACTTCAAATCCATTTACAGAGAGGTAAATGACTGCACAAGTTGCAAGGTACAAGAGAATCAGAACTTCGTGTTTAGGATATACACATTGTCCTATTTCAAACTAAAAAGCATGTTTTCAAGCACTGTTTTTGTCCTTTCCATATGTTCCATATACTGCTTTCAAATTCATATTTCAATGCTGATATAGTTTACATAAAGCAAATATACAGAAGTAATTCTTTCAGTGCTATTTCCATTCAATTAACTACATCTTTCTTTTTCTTACGAAACAAGAATTCTATTTCCTCAAGAGCAGCCCATAATGAGAACATATCAGTAACAATCAGACTGATCCAACAAAGCTCTTCCCATACCTTTTAAAAATAAACAGTTTTAAATAAAAGTGATCATGAACATAAACAGTGATTTCCTCTTGAGAATGACTGTTGACAGAAAAAAAGATAAAAACATATCAATGGTTTGAATTTGTAAGGAAGTTAAATAATTCAGGAAATGTTTTATTCACTGATAGCAATAAAAACAAAACAAAACAGGATCTTGCTCTTTACAATATGAAGTAATGTAAGAAATAAAATATATGACATACAGCATATTTGACAAAGTTTTTCCTAACTGTAGTGAAATTTCACAAGGTGGTCAAAAACCACATTGTTATCATCACTTCCCAGCAATACAATTCTGCTAAATTATCTTTTAGGTTCTAAAATTTATTTGCACCGTTTACAGAGATGAAAGGAAAATTAAGCCATGTGTATCACTTCTTGTTTTAAAATAAGTGGTTTGTGGTTCACATTTTCAACATATTTTAACTGAAATTCACAGGAAGTGGGAATCTCAAAACCAAAAATAGATACATACTTTATTCCCCCCTCCTCTTGATTTTCAAGCTTTGATCTCATAATCAAGCACAGAAGCTATAGGGACACAGTTTAATCTGGATTTCCCCCAGCAAAATAAACTGCAAATAAAGACCTGTGCTGAGTTACTAAGAGTTAAATCATGACCAGTACTTACACGGCTGCTCAGTACACAGACGGGAGTAAAATCCCTGTCCCTTCAAAATTACTCATGCAGCTGCATAGGGATGGGTTCACAGTTGCAGTCATGTATACAAACTGGGGCTCCATTCCCTTATTTTATTCAGCTGGGAAAGACAAACCTACCCATTTCAAGTTTTTAAAAAATGGAGCAGATACTTGTAGTCCATGTTTTCATATTAAACCCACCCATTTTTTTGCAAAGGTAAAATTAACTGTGCCATTACGTAGATCTTTGAAAAAAATCTACAGTGAAAATGACTACTTAACAATTTTAAAGTGAAAGATTTCATGACTAATTTAAAAATATGTTATTAATGGTTTCCACTTTTGACTGTTTTACAGTTGTTCTCCACTTGAGATACAAATCAAAATACAGAAAATCAGACTACAGAGCTTCATAGTTTAGAGACAAAGGATCTTTGAACCACTCTCTTAGAGATTTTGGGCCTGATTTTCCACTCCATCATATCAATTGCATACCAGTGTAACTCTGTCGATGTCAGTGATGTTACACCAGCTTAGAAACAGTATGAGAATGGAAAATCAGGCTTTTTGAACTCTTATTTATGGTAATGGAAAACTATATTCACCAATTGCATATTATATAACAAGGCTTTGGGTTTTTATTATTTGTTTGATAGGGAGGATGTACAATCTTCTCATTGATAAAAAATAAAAGAGAAAATGTAAGGGAAAACAATTCTTATCATCTAGAAAGAGAGGTGCAAACGGCTGCTTGTTATAAAATGGCCACTTAGGGATGTATAGCTGCTTGGTTGTGCTAAATTTAAAGGATGCCCCTGCATTAGGGAGAGTTATTAGAAATGTAGAAGTCACCAGGGAATAGATATTTCGGAATATAGTGTTTTGGTGTTGTCTACCACATTACATTACCATGTTATATTACTAATTTACATTTGTAATTATTGCATATTTTATTAGGAAAAGTGAACAAACATTTTATTGAAATATATTGCTACTGATAAGTTTGCTACCTACATAAAAATATTGTCATAACCATGTGATGCAATTCAAAGCCAAAACATATTAACAGGACCATACAAACTGGTCTCATTCTGCCTAGTGCCATGTACATCCTATTCCCATCCTCTGGAGTTTAACTGGGGAAACTACATTCTTTAGCTGGCACAAGGCTATGGCCTCAACCATTCCTTTACCAGCTAGGAAAGCTTGCTCCCCAAGGGCATGTGAGATTATGCTGCACATTTCCAAGGATGGCTCTAAACCATGCTCTCTCTTGCTTCCCATGCTGGTACTACAGCTATACTCCTGTGCTTCCCGAGACACTCAGTTTGACATCTTTATTCCTAAAGTAAATTCATATATTACTACAAAGCTTATCTTCCTACTTCGATTGTGTCCTTCCCTCTCTGGCTCTCCTGTCTACACCACATAAAAAAAGCATTTGGTGTATGCAGTAAAGGTTCTTCACAAAATAGCTCCACCCTACTGACCTAATCATGTACCTTACTATGTCATTAACATGTCTCCTCTGCTGCACTGGTCAAGCCAGTCTCCATTGCCTGTTGGTTCACATTTTCCATAACTGCCTTTATTTAAAAAAAGAAAATTTGAAACATGCCTACATTACTTATTATTGGCCTTGTCTTCCTCTTTACATTTTCTCTGTTTTGTACTCCATGTACTGTCTAGTTATTTTGCATTGACAGGTTAGACTGGTCTGCTGACTTACTTGGCAAGTTATTCTTTATTTCAAAATCAGAAAATGTCATTTTCAAAAACTTAAACAAGAAAAAAAGTATAATAATTCTATGAAAACTTTAGAAAAAAGAAAAATGGGTTTGTTCTGAAAATTAAGGAAATGAAGAATTTTATGATGTTTTGTTTGTGGATTTTGGACTAGCTGAGTTATTTATATTATGGTCATGTCCAGATGCTCCAGTCATGATCAGGACCTCATTTCTGGAAGGAGTTCCTGACAGACTCATCTCAGCATTCACATGAAGCCCCAATGACAGCAGGTGGTATTATGAATGGGTGCTGGGGGCTGCTTATGTGGTGTCATTTAGGATGGAGTGGGCAGTGGGTAGCCCAAGAGTGAGGTTTTC